TGCACCGCACCTGCTGCATGAGTATCTCCTCGCTTTGTTTCTTGGCTGCCTCGAGGGCCACGAGCTGCTTCTGCAGGTCCTGCTCACGCTCGGAGCTCTCGGCACGCAGCTTCCTGATCGACTCGGTCAACTCGGTCTCGCGCTTCTGCTTGGCCGCCTGCACACACACACGACACACACATGGACGGATAATGCGACCCTCTCTCTCCCTCACTCCCTCCCTCCCTCCCTGCTCTGTCTGTCTGTCTGTCTGTCTGTGGACTGACGATGAGGTCTTCCAGCTCTTTCCGGAAGGACTCCTCCCTCAGCTTCGCCTCCTCCTCCTGAGTCTCGAGCCGCTCCTTCATCTGCAGCGCCTCGCCTTCCATGATTTGCAGGTTCTTGATCAGCTCGGCGTCCGAGTCGCGCTTCGACACCTCCAGCGCCTGCTGCAGCTCCTTCCTGATCTGGGCTTGGGAAACCGTGCTCTCGGCCTCCTTGCCGGCTCCTGAGGATACCACTGCACACAGGCAGACAGGCAGACAGGCAGACAGGCAAACAGATGGGTGAGCGGTGTGTGGGTAGCTCTCAGCCTCACCTTTCTTGGCTGTCTTGGTGGCTGTGGCTGTGGCAGTCGCCTGTTGCTGGGACTCTTTCTTGGACTCCTGAGCTGAGATGAAGAGCACGCTGCCGAGCAGCAGCCATGGGAAGAAGCCTGCCAGCGCCTTAGTCCAGTCGGGGAACTGCACACACCACACACCACCCACCGCCCAACAAGCACACACACATATCTCTCGCACACACATGAGCACTGTGGTGTGGTGTGGTGTGACGTGCCTGCACCCACTCACCCCGGCTTTGATTTTGTTGTCCCTGACTGTTTTGATGACGTATTCGTTGCCGTCGAAGTCGAGGGCGGTGAGCTTCGACCCGTCGCTGCTGAAGAAGACCTGCTGGATCTTGTTGTTCTTGACCATGTCCAAAAATTTGGGGTCGCTGGGGATGCCGTCAAGCGAATATTTGTTGCCTGCACACACACACATAAGTACCGATCCACCCAGGCGGACAGGACAGGTGTGTGTGTGTGTGTGTGTGTTGATGCGTGGATGGCATGGCCACAGACCTTCTCCGTCTGCCGCAGTGAGAGTTTCTCCATCACTGCTGAAGAAGACCTGCTGGATCCTCTTGCTTTGCACCATGTCCAGGAACTGAGAGTAAGGCTTCACGCCGTCATCCGCCCACACAGACGACACCTGACATACATATTCACATACACAACACAACACACACAACAACCCGATAAGCCACGAGGGGCACTCTGCCTGCCTGCCTGCCTGCCTGCCAGGGCGTGGCGTGCTTACGTTGATGCAGAATGTGGCAAGCACGAGAGTGGCAATACCGGCGAGCGACAGTCTTCGCACCGGGCCTCTCCAAGCGTTGGCCAGCCCCCCCGGGTCCACCCGCATCTGCAGCTGGAGATGCGAACCCGAAACCGCCCTCGACGGGTGCCGCCTCCGCTGCAGCGGCCTCACGGCATGAGGGCCGATGTAACCAAGAGCACCGGAGGAAGAGAATCGACTCGCCGCCTCGCCGCTGACGATCAGCCATAAGATGCAAAGGAGGAAGGGGAGGCTCCGAAATGGCGCCATCGTTGCAAGCAGGAGGGACGCCGAGTTGCCCGCCTTCGACAATGAGCAGATCTGATGTGTGCTGCTGTAGAGCTCGTGAAGCAGAGCCGCCTTCACTGAGCCTTCTGCGGTCTTCTCCTCATATGTGGCGAAGCACACCGGCCGCAGCAGGGGTCTTGTTGATGCAGTGGGAAGGCTGCTGATGCAGATCAGAGGTTGTGTGGGTCACTGCTGAGCGGGATCTTTGGTATATGATTTGCAGGCAGCTGCGAGGACTCTAATGCTGGCAGCAAGTCCCCTGCTTGGCGAGCTTAGCGGGAAGTTTGAGCTCGCAATCGCTGTCAGTCAAGCTCCCTGAAACCCCCCCCAACCCGCTGTCAGTCAACGAAACCGCTGTCAGTCAAGGATCTCTGGTTTGGCGTCATCGCAGGAGCAGCCGGGATGGATGGCTACATGGTTGACGGCGAGGAGGAGGAGGACCTCTACAATGGCAGGACTAAGGAAGAGTACCTCAGCACAAACGTACCTGAAGGTCAGCGTGGCGCACAAGGAAGCATCAGACCACACACATGAGAGCAACGAGGTGAGCTGAGATGCATGTGGCCGGTTTGTGTGTGTGTGCGTGTGTGTGTGTGCAGATCTGGAGCTGTATGACATGTACAGGAGTCCTCGGATCCCCGAGGCGCCTGACTCGGACAGCGGCGTCGCCATCGATCTCTCCAGGATGACCACTCTTACAGGATCCAACCTCAACGTTGACCTCACCTGCCCCGTCTGCCTCGGTGGGTGCGGGGCGGTGCGCTTCACGCCTATGTGCACGTCGCACCGCTGCCTGGTTGTTCTCTCTTCTGCCCTGCCCAGGCATTTTGACCAAGACGACGACGGTCAAGGTGTGCCTTCACCGGTTCTGTGCGTCGTGCATCGAAAAGTGCCTCCGGATTGGGTGAGTGAGTGAGTGAGTGAGCTCACTCGGAACTAGCGAATGAATACCTTACCCCTGAAGACTGACTGGGTGCTGTTTATCCATGCCTGCCTTGTGTGTGTGCAGCAAGCGTGAGTGTCCGACGTGTCGCGTTCACATATCCAGTCGGCGGATGCTGAGGTCAGACCCGACATTTGACAAGATGGTCAAGCGACTCTTCCCTAACGTAGAGGTGCGTGGCGGGGGGACGGACAGTCAGGCAGAGAGAGGGAGGCCGGTGCGGTTCGTCCCTTGAGTGATTGACTGATTCGTGCGCACGGCACACAGGCGTATGAAGAGCACCATGAGAAGCTGGTGGAGCAGTCCAACAAGAAGAACAACCTCACCAAAGGCGTTCCAGGTCGGCTGGCCACCACACTCACTCAGCCAGCCACCCACCCACCCACCGGCTGTGGCACCCATCTGTGTCTGTCTGTCCATCCCATCGGATCCCCACTCAGGTCTCACCCCCTACCCCCCGTCCAACCCTCCCGCTCCCCCCGCCCGGCACGTCATCACACGCCCCCCCGCCTTCATCCCGATGCTCACGCGGCCCAACATGATGCCCCCCTCACGGCCGTCGTCCGCACTCAGACCGGGCCAGCCGCCGTGGATCTCGTTCGCACCCAGAATGAGCGTGAGACCACTCACCCAAGCCCCTGGAGTGCGCGCACCCCCTTTCCCTCCTTCGCTCTCCTCGGCAATGGGCGGGCCGCCCGTCGCCCCTGCTCCTCCTGCCCCTGCTCCGGCTACCGCGGCGGCGGCGGCGGCGGCGGCTTCTGTGGGCAGCGGGATGCCGTCAGGGCAGCAGCAGGAAGGCGCTGCTGCTTCTGCGATGATGAAACAAGAGAACGGTGTTGCTGTTGGTGCTGGCGGTGATGGCGGGCCGGGGGAGGAGCAAGCAGCGGCTCCCATCAAGTTCACATTCAAGCTGCTGCCCGACCCGAATCTGAAGGCACTGCCGCGGCTCGACAAAGAGGTAGGCACAACTAACTGCCGCCCCTTCCCCACCTATTTGATGATGTAGATAGATACTCCTGACCTGACTGTGTGTGTGTGTGTGTGTGCAGGAGGTGTCGATACCGGGTCACATCACAGTGGCTCAGCTGTCGCGGTACCTCTCCCACCAGCTGATGGGGAAGGCCAAGGCCATCAGGGAGGCGGGCCCGTCGGGACAGCCAGACCAGCAGCAGGTGCCCCTGTGGACGTCGCCCCCAACAGTCGCCCTCTGCTCGCCAGACTCAGACAGACAGGTGTGTGGTTTGATCGTCATGAATGAGTGAGTGCTGTTGGTTGGTCGTGTCTGTCTGTTGTGCGTGCAGCGGGTGCGGTGGCCGTCTGCTTTGCCGGTGGCAGCTGGCAGGGACGAGCCTATGGCTCCTGGTGAGGGAGGTCTCAAGAGCCTGGGCAGTGAGCTGACCCTCGCACAGGTCCATGCGATGGTAAGTAAGGAGAAGAGGGGAACAGACAGAGGGAGGGAGGGAGGGAGGGGTGCGGCACATGGACAAAATAGATGTCATGTGTGTGTTGGTTGTCTTGTGTGTGGACTGGACAGCATCATGTGTTGCCCTCGGCTACGCTGTCCCTCTACTACACCATTGCTGACTGACAGGCAGGCCAGATCGATGAGGCTGTACGGCTGTCTGATGAGTAAGTAGACTTGAGTGCGTGCGTGAGTAGATTCGATGATGTGACGGACGAACGGACGGACAAGGAACCGATAGATATCATCGAGACACTCACTTCCTTGACCATATCAATGCACACACACACACACACACATCGAGAAAGCACCTGCAGTCAGTCCGAATCGCATCGATCATGCACACGCGCAAAAGAAAGACTCGTCACACCACTCATATCACTCATATCACGTGTCAGCCGTCTTTTCGCCATCTCCCCTTTCCCTCTCCCTCTCCCGTCGCTCGGGAGGCCCCGGGCCGTCTGCGGCTGCCGATGCTGCTGCAGAGGCAGAGGCAGAGGCAGAAGCTGATGTCGCTGCAGCCAACAACGGCACTCCCTCGAGGTCCTCTTCCTCATCTTCTTCATCGTCAGAGTTGCACGCCTGCCATTCATCGCCGGCCAAGGCTCCCGAGCCGTCGTCACCATCACCACCCCCACGGCCTCTCCTTTGCCTGGTCGGCAGAAGGTTCACCCGACCCCTGCCAGGAGAGTGTGCCTGTGGGCTCCTCACATACCTCCCATCAGCCGCCCGGCGCAGTGTGTTGAGGTTGCCGTGCCCTCCCCCTCCCCCTCCACCCGCTGCCTGCTGGGCGGCCGCCATGACGATTGACCGTCTTGGCGAGGGATCGTGGTCGTCCTCCTGGGAGGCCGGAGCGGCTGCGGCCGATGCTGAGGCTGGTGCTGACGGAGCCGATCCTGATGCGGCGGGGGATGAGGGGTCGCCCAGTGAGAAGTCGTCACTCTCCTCCCGTCGGCGCCTTCCGCGCGGCGCCCATGGCGGGGCCTGCACAAGTGCGTGGCAGCAAGGGGCGGCGGGACGGAAACGGTGCAGTGGGCGCGTTCGTGTGTGTGGTGGTTGCTTACGTATCCGCGCCACACGTGTCGGTTCTCCTGCTCGTCAATGTACTCCTCATCTTCCCAGTCTGACAAACAAGAGGCGCAACAGCAGGGTCTCCGGCCGTCTGCCTGTCTGTCTATCCATCTGACAAACGTACCTTCTGTGTCATCCGGCGTGGTGCTGCCCGAGGGAATATCCTCGCCACCTGCAGTCCAGTCACAGCCAAACCTAATCAGCAGGGTGTCTGTCATTCCTGTGCTCTATCTGCCAGCCATGCGATGCCTTGCCTTGTTCGTCGTCGCGGTCGTCGCCGTGATGGTCCGACTCGTCAGAGTCGTCATCGTCAGAGTCGGTCTCAGACTCCTGACACAGTCAAGGCAATCAATGAACTCTGGCTTTGTTGGGTGTGCGTGTGTGTGTGATCGGTAGGTACCTCCTCTTCTCCGCGGGTGAATGAGACGGTGTTGCAGAGCTCGCTGGGGAAGTAGGTGAAGAACTGCCCGCTGAAGTCGCGGCAGTGCACCACGCCGCCGCTCACAGCCACGATCAGCAGGAACGTCTGGGACGATATGTCGTCGTCGGCACTCGGCAGCGTCTGGACACCATCACACCACACCCACACACCGGCCATCCCATCTATCCATCCATCCATCCGACGAAGATACGCCACGCAAGGATGCCTCCTGACTGACTTACCGTTCTGGGGATGCAGTAGTCGCCAGGGATGTATTGCCAGGCCTCACACGGCCTCAGCTGGTCCACCCGCACCTGCTCGATGCGCCATCCCCCGCCAGACGTCTGGTTGGCCTTGCCCCCGCTCCCGCCCCTCCACAACCTGGGCAGGTGCTGCAGCACACGCAGCCCGCCGCTCCTCCAGGAGGCCGACCATACAGCTGACCGGGTTGGATCCGCCGAGGGGAAACCCTGGCGGACCATCTCTTGCGACCATCCATCTGACCGATCAGCCGACCGTACCGTACATGAGCACAGTTGGTGTCCGTTGTCTTACCGTGGTGCGCCTCATAGAAGGCCTCCATCTCAAGTTTGCCCTGGGACTCGTCCAAGGGGTTGGTGTATGGGCCTGGGGGTGGGGGCGGTGTGGCGGGCGTCTCGGAGGCAGCGGAGATTGAGAGCATCGTCTGGGTGCCGGTGCTGCGGCTCGGCGCAGAGGGGACCGCTGCATCAGCAACACACGCATGCATCACACAAGGGAGGGCACATACATAGACATGAGGGACATATACCGGGGCTACCTGTCAAGGCATCGATGGCGTCTTGACTGTCTGGTTGTGGTTGTGTGGGTGGGCTCGACTCCGGGGGCTGCACCAACGACTGCTTCCACGGCAGAGCGCGCACCTCCTTCGTCCGCGCTGCACGCACGACCCACAAGACAGAAACCACCTCACCACTTGAGCCATCTGGTCTTCGCTCTCTCTCTCGGTCTCTTACCGATGGCCTGTTCTTCATCTTCCAGCCAGGCCACCGTGGCCTCCCCCCTGACAATCCGCAGCACCAGGCCGCGACGCATCCCCTTGTCCTTGCTGCTGTTCCTGGGCCCCCGTGAGAGACACTGCAAGCGACGACCGATCGAAGACAGGAGATCCTGTGATGGGCTGCTGGTGCTGCCGGTGACCTTGGCGGTGTTGTTCGTGTTGGTGGTGGTTGTCTCGCTGAGGACGACGCCGCCCGAGCTCAGGTCTTGCCACCAGGATTGCTGCAGCTGCTGGGCGGGGTTGTTGACGTAGCACTGCACACACACACACACACACACACAGAGAGAGAGAGAGAGAGAGAGGAATATGGAGCAGAAGGATGGATCGAAGGAAGGAAGGATGCGTGTGAGCGTTGGGCTACCTGGAAGAACTCCTGCTCGTCTTCTTCTCTCTTCTGCTCCTCCGTTGCGCCAGGGTCGCGCAGCAACGCATACTGACAGACACACCCACAACCATCCACAGTCACATCACACACCTCCTTTCTCCCCCCCCCCAAGCTCTCACGTACCATGCCCGGCATGATGGCCTTTGTGTGGATGTGCGGCAGAACCTGCCAGAGCTCCTTGCCCGCCATGTCACGCTGCACACTGCCGTCCTGCCACAATACCGACACCCTCGTCTGCACGCCGCCCACCACACCCAGCCGGTAGTGGTAGGAGGTGGCTGAGGAGGAGGACACACCGACTGACGAGCCTGTCGACGCACAGACACAGAGAGAGATATATAAAGGAGGGAGGACATCCATCCGACCACGTTGCGGCTCACTTGATGTTGATGCGTCGGCTGGTGGTGGGATGTCGATGCGCAGGTAGACGGGGTCGCCCAGGTGGAGGTTCACTACACACACACACGCACAGACACAATCGTGAGTCGATATATGTACAGGTGTGATGTGAGCCAGGTGTACCGGAGTGCGTTGGCTGGATGGCCCGGGTGGGGCACCTCCGAGGAGGCCGAAGGCGATTGGTCTGCCCACACACACAACACACATGTTCACACAGCTCAGCTCTCTCCCCTCCCTCCCTCTGTCTGTGTTGTGTGCGGTGCATTTGTCTGTCTGTCTGTCTGCGTACCAGCGATCCGCAGGCCACCCAGTTGACGCGCACGTCCCTCACGTCAAAGCTCTCCACAGTGCCGTGTGTGAGTCCAGCTGACGGCAAGCCCTCGTTGCCCGGCATGTGAGAGAGCCGCTGCATCAGCTCGCCAGAGATCTTGACTCTCTGTGAGCGAGTGATGACACAGATCAAGGCGTGTGCGTCGGCGTGGGTTGTGCGGCTGTGATTGCTGGCTCGCTGACCAGCGATGGGTAGAGGGGGAACTGTTCGCTGACAATGCCCGACCGCAGCTCAGGCGACACCCCTTTGGCGCGGTGGGGGTGCTCGTATAGGGTTCCCGCGTCCAGCCTGATCTTGTAGCTGATGGCCCGCTTCTCCACCACACCCAGCCACCCACAACCACACACAGCGCTCCCTTCACACACATGCATTCACAGAGCCATAGACAATGCCACAATGGATGTGCTGGCCTGCTGGCCTTGTGGTCTGTGTACCTTCGACAAATGGGTGGAGGGGCCTCACACGCGGCGGGCGTGCAGGGAAGGGCGGGTCGTCGAGGTGGGAGATGTGTATGTTGCGGTGCCATTCCTCCTCGCGCACCACCCGATCAGACGAACCGCGACGCTCCAAAGCACTCGACGGCGTCGTGGGCGCCAGTCTGAGTGAAAGGAGAATGGTTGCACTTTACGTGGTCTGATGAATGCTGCCCTGTACGTGTGGGAGGGTGTGTGTGGGTGTCTTACTTGACGTCGATGATTTGGTGTGTGGCGATGACCATGCCCATGATGTGGGGTGTGGCCGTGTCGGTCGGGCGCTGGGACTGCACAATGTCGCCCATGATGAACAGACGGTCAACTGATGGAGGGAGGGAGGGAAAGAGGGAGGGAGGGAAGGATGTCTGCCTCGTTTCTTGTTTGCTTCCACCCACTCAGCCACCCAGCTACCGAGCACTAGTTTGTCAGCATCGACGTTCTGCACCGATCCGTCCATCCAGGCCACCTGCACCTCTCCCTCCTGAGGGTTCATGCCATCTGGGTCTGCAAGCACACACACACACACACACACACACACGCACACACACACAAATGGGTCTGTGGCTCACCACGCCTCCGTGCTTGTGTGTGCGTGGGACTCACTCACTCACCGTCCTCATCCATCCCCTCCATGATGCCCCAGTAGGTCCGCACCACCAACCCCAAAACCACGGCTTCCTCTGCAGCCTCATGGTCTTCGCCTTCGCTCACCCGCGAGGCCTTCTTCAGGAGTCGCTGCTCGTCTTTCTTCACCACATCAAACTTGTCAAACTGAGTGTCGGGGACCAGCGGCTCATCTGACGCCTCACTCATCGCTTGCTTGTACGCCTCTCGAATTGAAGCTTCACGCAGCGGCGCGTGCGAGCTTAGCCGAAGAGCGATCCCTCGGAGAGCTGGAAACGTCCACGAAAGCTGTATGCACGAGTACAGGAGCCAGCTTCCTGCCCAGACTCACCAGCTCCTGAGCAAAAAACCGCAGCTTTTCCATTGCTTGACCATCTGAGTGCCTCTCTCCCACTCAAAAACATGCATGGTGTTTTGCCGCCGAGAAACTGGACACATGACTGACTGAAGGAGCTGGTTCCTTTGACGAGATCGACTGCCAGCTCTTGGCTTTAATCACAGCTTTCTCATTGCCGATGGATGACACCACCACACCACGCCACACCACCCTCTGTACACAGGTGTCCATTTATCCATCCATCCATCCATCCTTCCATCCGTCCATCCTGTGCATGACACACGCCATGGCATGCAGTCTGTACACACGGGGGGGCGGTGACTCGCCTGAACACAAAGAGCGCAGGAGTGTCATGCCAGCCAGCCAGCCTTCCTGCTCACTTGAGTGTTGGCTGTACGAGTTCTGACCAGAAGGTCGGATGAGTGGCCCGGCCCGCATAGATCATTGGCGGGAAGCCGGCCTTGTCGTGTGCTGCCGAACCATCCATCACACACGTGCCTCGCTCTATTTGCATGCGTGCTACCCTGTGTGGGATGAGTTATCGAGATGGGCAACCCGAGGGCCTGAGGCGGCCCTCTCGGAGTATCTCGGAGGCGCCGAAACCTGCTGATCTTAGTGTGGTGTCAGCTAGAACGGAGGCTTGGGCGCACACCTTGCAATAAATCGGTGCAGGACGAAGGGAAAAGAAGGAGCCACCGGATATAAAATGTAGGCACCGATTCAGGCCTGCAGATAGATACAGACAATGGGGAGAAACAAAGGAGAGATGACGCACATCCGTCTCGCGATCGATCTGTCATTCATGCTCGTATTCTTCTTCTATCTCCCTCACCCCTGTATCTCGCGATGGATCGAGAAGCGGCTGGCACCAGAGCAGCTTCCTTCGCCCCCACTCATTCCCTCTCCCCCCTCTCCTACTGCCCGTGCGCCGCAGGGCCCTGCTCGGCAACCAGCCCCACCGCTATCTCGACGCCGGCCGGCAGCTCTATGCTGTCCTCGTCGGCGCAGGCAGGGTGTGTGCTGTGCGTGGTGAATGAGTCCGTGCTGTCCTGGTCGTGTGTGCGGCTGGCGGTGGCCGTGGGATGGGTTTGGGAGGATTTGGGGGAGGCCGAGTCGGTCGTGTTGGCAGCGCACACGCTCTCGTCCTGGCTCTCCTTGGTGCCCTTATCGCACCCCTCCTTCTTCTTATCGCTCTCCTCCTTCTTCTTCTTGAGCTCCTCGAGCTTCCTGTCGATCTCCCTTTGGGCCTCCCTTCGGGCCTCCCTTCGGGCCTCCATCATCTGAGTGAATCAATCACGCAACACGCGCATACGCGAGAGACAGAAAGGGCCAGTGGGGGGGGTGTATGTGAGCGCAGGCTATGGGCGGCGCGGCGCTCACCTCCTCGTACTGGTTGTATTGCTCCCGTTGCTCCTGTTCCTTCTTCTTCAGCAGGCGCCCCTGCCACAGCGAGAACCCCCAGATCTTCTTGGCACCCTGCACAGAATGCATTGCAGTGTGACCAACACGTGTGCTCTTGCTGGCATGGCTGGTGTGTATACGTGTACGGCGGTGTGCACCCACTTTGATGAACTCGCGCTCGCGGTGCTCCGCCACTTTCGTGAGGCCGTCGGCAGCCTCGTTAAGCTGCTGCATCGTCTCGTGCGAGCCTCCTTTATCTGGGTGGCCCTTCTGCAGGACACACACACACACGCGCGCACACGCGCATTGAACCCACCCCCAACCGCACAACTCCTCATTGCCAATGCACCCTCATCGCGGTGCATGCGCTCGTACCAGGGAGAGCTGGCGGTACTTCTTCTTGATATCAGCTAGCGGTGCAAATGGGTTGACGCCGAGGGTCTCGGCGAAGCCGGCATAGTCCTCGGCAGTGTACTCAAAGGTGCCGTCGGGAAGCAGCCTCGGCATGGTGACCGTAGAGTGCTCTTGCTGGCAGAATGCAATGGCCTGCTCTGCCAAACGTATGCTCGGCTGGTATGGCTTGTATGTGTCACGGCGGTGTGCACCCACCTGGATGGACTGGCGCTCGCGGCGCTCCGCCACTTCCGCGAGGGCGTCGGCAGCCTCGTTAAGCTGCTACATCGCCTCGTGGGAGCCTCCCTTATCTGGATGGTTTTCCTGCACATACACACACACATTGAACCCACCCCCAACCGCACAACTCCTCATTGCCAATGCTCCCTCATCGCGGTGCATGCGCTCGTACCAGAGAGAGCCGGCGGGAGTTCTTCTTGATATCAGACAACGGTGCAAACAAGTTGACACCGAGGGTCTCGGCGAGGCCAGCGTAGTCCTCGGCAGTGTACTCAAAGGTGCCGTCGGGAAGCAGCCTCGGCATGGTGATCGCGAAGAACCTGAATACACTGGACAGCTGTCAAGTGTTCGTAACGTTGTGTGAAGTGACTGACTTACTCATAAGCTCCAGTTTTGTCTGAAAACACAGCTGCATTCAGTCACAGCGCACGTGTTCCATGTGGTCCATGTGCATGTGTTCTTCAAAAGAGGAAGAATGACCACGCAGTGATCCTCGTCTCCACCAAGTGTGTCTCCGCTTCCTGGTCTGTGGCACAGGGGCGTCCTGGGTCATGGTCCTGCATGGCGTCGTTCCATTGATGTATTTGCAATGCCCATTGAGGCCACACAAGTGTATTCGGCGCTCAACTGGAATAAGTTGGGAGGGGTGGGGGATGAGGCGCGTCAGACAAACCAAGAACCAGCCCAAAAGACGAAGAAATAGAGGAGATGTGGCCGGAGAAAGGGATATATATATTGGAGCGAAAGCAAGACTGCGAGCTTGTCTCCTGCGAGAAATGTCTTGGGGGGTAAAGGGGGCTGCGGAGTCTTCTCAGGATGGCCCGGTAAAGGGTGTGCGCTTTCTTCAGGCACAGCCATCATGAGGAACCAACAGCTTGACGACACCACTCGTGCGCAATCCCGGCAGCGAAGAGCGAAGGTTTCTCCGGAAGACTTCCTCCCGTCACACCTTGCCGCCAAGATGTTGGCAGACGGAGGCTCCCTGGCGACGTTCAGACTGCGGCCGCCACCCCCCCCTCCACTCGCATCTATGCAGAGGACAGCATACCGATTCGACGCCACTCTGTCTTCATTCGAGGAGCTCATCAACATGCGCTCGCAGCCAGGCAATGCCGCTCTCGGCTCCGCCGTGCGGGAGTTCGCAAGCATGGCGCAAAAGAGGAATTTCGTGTGGAAGGGAGAGGGCGGGGGGTGCAGTCACTTGGAGGTGGTGGTGCCTCTGGTTGTGTGGTGGGACAATGTCGCAAGGGATGATCGGAAGACGGCCGTGAGCCTTGAGGTCACATTCATCTCGCACCAAGGTAATGGAGACTCTGCAACAGGAGGAAATGCTATATGTGTACTCTGAAACAGGTGTCTACTACGTATTTCAGCCGTGCCTTCCCCAGACGTCTCTCCAGCTCCACCCGGCCACGCTCGCCCAGGCAGACTCGCCGTCTGCTGCCGCCTCCACGGAAGAGACAGCCATCGGCGGCTCCAGCGACCTTCAGCCACTATTTCAGGAAGACGTCCGGTCATACGCTACATTCCGGTCAGCGTTTCGCCGCCTGATCGATCCCAATGGAAACAATCCGACTTTCAATGACGACTTGAGGAAGTGTGTGGGAGGGGGTAGTTCGAGCGAGAACGATGTGGAGCGGCTGAAGGTTTGGACGGACCGACTGCGGGCCCTCATACGGCAGCCTTTCAATGCGGTAGGGAGAGGGGCAAAGCACGGCTGGACGTGTCCCTCTGACCGGCTTATCATGTTTGGCAGGTTTACTGGCTGATGCTGATGGTGGCCTCCTATTACAAAGAGGCCGCAGTGGAGAGGGGTGCCTTCCCAAAAGACACCAGTCGCCCCACATGGGAGGAAGACGAGACATCTGGGATACCTGTGATCGCAATTGACTCCATAAGGTGACATTGAGACATTGCGGACACGTCTTCGAATCTGCATCTTGCCGTCCATGATCTGTCGGCAGCACATTAGAGGCCCTCGTCTTCGGCCATATTCATCGGATCGATCACGCGACGGCTGACAACGATGCTTCTAAGGCCGAACCGCAGAACCAGGAGCCGCCCACGACCCGCGCGTACTTCGCCTCCTCTGGGTATACTCTCAAGCGTGAGGGCACCAAGATGCCCAGACACCAGGTGCTCTATGCGGGGGAGGAGCCTTCAAGCGCCTATCTAGAGGTGCGTAAGCCACATATTGACAAAGTCTGTCGGCACACTGGATTGGGTTTCCGTTTGTGCAGTGGCTGCGCAGCATCGGGCTGCAATGTGCGTCTCCGAAGTCCTCGTCACAGCCTGAGCTGAAGCTGTCTATCGCCGGTCTCGGCGGCTCAGAGAGAGAGATTGGGTTTCGGAGGGAAGAGCCGGCTCGCAAACCTGTTTTTGAGGCAAACAAGTTCCTGGACCTTCCTGTGGCTGTGGTAAGCCGCCATCAAAGTATAATGTCTCTCTTCTCTTGTATGTTTGGCCAGGTGCATTATGGTCGCGCTTCCAGGCGGACGGTGGATCCGTATGCGTGGGTGGGCAATCCGGAGATGGTGCGGAGCTTCCTCCTCAAATACGCAGCGGACAACCACTGCCTGAGCCAGATAGAGCAGGCGGAAAGGCTCTACTCCGTGTCATCAGTGATCGGTGAGCACGATGCCCGTCTTCCACCGCTTTTCGTGCATGGCTCGCTGTGTGTGTGTATGTGTGTGTGCGTGTGTGTGTGTGTGCCAGGTATCCCCCCCGCCGAGGGCACCGAGAGCTCACCCGTCTGCTGGAACGGCCTGCCTGTCTGCGAGGTGAATAACGCCAAAGAACACGCATCGTCATTACACGCAATTGTTGCATACGTCTCATGGGCCATGGCTGATCATCAGGTGGGTATCCCTCGCCCCTCGACGTCCGCTGCGTTCCTCTCTCCCTTTCTCCGTCCCTCGGCCATTGCCCTTTCGTGTCCTGTCCACGGCAACATTGGATCGGAGCCGGGCGATGCGTTGCTCAAACGGGACCATTCGCTGGGGTTCCACCGGCCGACAGAAGGCATGTGCTCGTGTCGCCTGTACTGTTCCGCCGAGACTTCGCCGAGCGATTCCGGTGACAACTCACCCTTCTTCCTGGCCGATTTCCTGACCTTCCACTGCTTTGGTGCCATAATCGCTGCGGCGCTGAACCTTTCAAAGGCGATTGTACGACTGCACTTTGGCTTCGACCCCGCGCTATTCCATCGGTTGACTGCTCTTCGGGAGCTGGCAAAGGCGGCAAGTGTTGCCGACGAGATGCGGGTGCTCATCAAAAGCCTGTTTCGTGTGTATGCGGACGTGCTGCAGCCCGACAGACATGGGAGATCTCGGTACACCTACTGGCTGGAGTCCATATGCCGCGGGTTGCTGGGGGGCGGCGCCATGAGCGGCTACCGGTGTGAGGTATACGACTGTCTCCTGTCGCCACGAGACGTGCTGACGGCAGAGTCGGGCGAAGAAGGAGAGGCCGATGACGTCAAGGAGTTCCTGGTACCAGCAGACAAGTCCCCCAGCCCCCCTCCCTCAGCCTCCCCCCCGGAACTCTGCAAGCCGTTAACAATCAAGAGACAAGTGACCTTCTCAGAGGATCCAGGGTCATCATGCAATGACGCCATCTCAGAAGAGGAAAGAGAGGGAGAGGAAAATGCCGAGGGCGAGGCTGCGGCTGATTCCCAGTCTGGCAGCGCGCGATCATCTGTGGGGAGCGGATCGAGCCGGCATAGTAGGCAGGGCCGTCTCTCACCGCCCAAGAGGCGGTCGTCGAGGGTGTGGGCGCAGCACTTTGTGACACGCGGCACGGGCAAGGATGCCAAACAATGGAACCTGACAATGTCTGAGTACTCTATCAAGTGAGAGGAGGGAAGGAGACACACACTCTGATGCATCCGGTTGCCATATCCTCATTTGACAGAGAGCATCTCAAATACTTCGTGCAGTGGTGTTCGTCGGCTCATCTGACTCCCTTCCTCAAGCACATTTATCACCGGTGCGGCGTGAGCGGCTTCCTTCTTCGCAGCAAGAAAGACGCCCCGCCAGTAGTCCTTCCCTCCCTCCCAGAGCAGTTCTTCGGCCGAACATCGCCGCTCTATTGCATCCTCCACTACCACTACGGCGGCCTTCCACATATCGGCTGCAGAGCCGTGTCGACGGCCCCATCCCTTACCAACTTCCTGGCCGCCCTGCCCGCCTCGTCACCGCCTCGTCTCCGCCAGATACCCTCCAACGCGCCAACCACATCCCATGCGCCCAAGGACGATTCCCCTCAGAGGAGGAGTCTCGGCGACGGCGAGTTCATGATGACGAGAAAACGGCGGGCCAGTGCGGCCAATCTCGATATCATCGCTGCCGGCAGCAAGACCATCCGAGAGGTGGCGCCTGTGAAGCCGTCCTTCCGCCGAAGCAAGACAAAAGACGCAGCCTCGATGCGGGCTGGCATTGAAGAGACGAAGAGGCAGCAGCAGGACGAGGCAACGGACCCCATCCGTGCACTGGAGCAAGACCTCCAGGAGCACATGCGCGGCGACTGGAGGGTGCCAAACCCATCCTTTGCTCGTCGACCAGGGGAGAGGCGTCGCAGCAGCCACAAAGGGGAGGCGTCACCGGACTTCAAGGGATTGTCTCCCCGCTCTCTCATGACCAGGATGTCGCTTGGCGCGATCGTGGACCCTGTTGACGAAGAGGAGGTCAGGAAGTGGGAGAAGGAGGATCAGGAACGCGCGAGAGAGGCGGAGAGGCAGGTGATGCGGGCCGAGGTGGACATGGAGGCTTGGAGGCTGGTGGAACAGCTGAGAACTGTCCTGTCAATTGGACTCAAGAGAAGACAGGTCAGCGGGGCGTATTGTGCCCACCCTTGCGCCATGTCTCGACGGTCGATTCGCTGTTCAGGAGCAGAGGTGGATGTACCGCGGCTATCGCGATGCCTTCATCAACAAGGTCATGCCGGCCAACCAGGAACTCCCAGCCATCATTCGAAGGCTGCTTATCAGAGAGGTGAGCAAGCCACACAATGCCATTGCATTCATCTGACTTTCTGTCGCCATATGTTGTCCATTGTGCAGCATCCAGGTCTCCAGGACCAGCAGGCACAGGACGGAGACGCCTGTGAGTTGTCATCCGCCTCTCCCACACCTCGCAAGCGGCAGCTGAGGCCGCTCAACACCTTCATCACGCCTCTGCCGAAGCTCTCCAACATTCCCCCCGAAGTATACACCAAACCCACCAAGCTAACGCTGCAATCCATCGTGACCAACCAGGCGCCCCGGAGGCGGCTGGTCGACCTCGATGTCACCGACGCCCCCAGACAGCCGCCCACTTTCGAGAGCGTGAGGAAGAAAAGGGAGAGCGTTGCGGTGCAGCCGATGGTGCGGAGCATCGAATCGGTCAAGGCCCATCGGCCACTTGCCGGCGCCACCTTCAGCGACTTTGCGAGTGATCCATTCTTCCGGTTCAACGACAGAGAGACGAGACACGCTTCCTCCGCTTCATCTTCTGGGGCAAGCAGCAGCAGCAGCAGCAGCACAGCTGCACCAGGGTCAGGCTGTCGCTATGAGGATTCTCTATCGCCGTCGCCATCCTTGCCGGACCTCGCTCCACACCACCACCAGGAGCCGCCCTCCACTGCCGCCTCATCGAGTGACTCGCCCAACAGACGATCGTCTGCATCATCCCACGCCCATTCGTCATCGAGCGGCCCCGAGGGTGAAGGCCAGAGACGGAAGAGGAGCCGGCGCGAGTCCGTGTTCGACGTCTTTGTGAGGGGCAACAAGCCTGGAGAGGTGGGTGACGGGGGTATGGAGCTGAGCCTGGAGGGTGGCGTGGTGAAGAGCAGGGAGAAGGGGGACAGGCATGAAAAGAAGATGGGGTCGCTGTGTCGCTGCCACGAGCCGCCCATGCCTCAGAAACTGGAGGAGACTGGGCCCCGGCTGCTGCTGTCCCCGACATATGTGGATAGGCAGGGGCTGGTGCTGTCTGACGAGGGGTGGTGGCCGCAGTGCGGGGGGGTGTATCGGTTCTACTACGAGGCCGCTACCGACGAAGTCAGCTCCTTTGTGACGGAGGGGGCGGTGCCGAGCGCACAGCTGCTGTATGTGCTCTTGGATGATGAGGATGCGGACTGATTGAGACATGGATGCCACTCCAATCGACGGTTTTTTGACTGTCACGGATCGCTTATTTATTTGTCTGTTTTCCCATCGCGTAAACCACTCATTCGCTCAAAACTGCCACAGCACAGCAGGCACGCACATCGACATACACACAGGCTGGCTTCAGCAAACCGCGCATTCACAAAGGGGAAAGCCGATTGATGCAAATCTACACAACGTATCGACAGCACCCCTGTCCCCTCTCCACTCACAATTTCCTGATGACCAGCAGGTGTGTCTTGATGCCGAGTGGCCTGGGCCGCCCGTCATTGACGCGCACCAGCTCGTGTCTCAGGGTGGCGTAGAACTCCTCCACCATCATGGGCACGTTGCTGGGGCCGCTGTCGGTCACCATCCGGCAGTCCTCCCGCATGAACGACGTCACCATGCCCTCACTCCACTCGCGGATCGATGACACAATCTGCATACACGCATACCCACAGACACACACTTATGCCGTGGACAGTGGGGCCTTTGTGCGTGCACTCTCACCCACCTCATCAAAGAACAGCTCAGCGGCCTCATGTTTGTCGCATCTGGCCGAGGCAATCCGCCTCTCATATCTATGGAGGAAGAAGCGATCGTCCTCCGTCCAGATGGCCTCCAGCTGCAGAGGCAGCACCTTTTGGAATGCCGGGAATGCCAAAGGGCCGTTGGTGTCGAGCGGCTCCTCCATTGGGGGGTTGCTGCATCGGAAGGGGCGAAAGGGCTCCAGCACGGCCTTCAGTGGCAGATACATAAAGGGGAAACACGCCTTTCTTGCTGTCTCGGGAGACACCCTGCACACAGAAGAGAGCATCGTGCGTGCAGGAGTGGATTTCTCGTTCGTTGTTACCATCCATTGGTGGCCATGATGTTCATGACGTTGTATATGCCACTGAAGAGCCCGCCCCCGCCCGCCTCCGGCTGCAGCCAGGACACGCACAAATGCCCTCCGTCGATGAGCTCAGCGCTGCGGGCAGACAGGAAGCTCTCCCATTCACGCTTCTTGACCTCCATTCGACGAAAGCAGGCAGGCAGGCAGGCAGCAATGTATACCGGGGGAGGTGTGTGTGTGTGTGTGTACCTCTGCCCATGCGGTGACGGCTGCAGGGTCCTTGCTGCAGGAGTGGACGAGCCCGTCACTCAGGGGCAGTGGGTATCTGTCCAGCCTGCACAAATGGAGAGCACAAGCTTGACACAGATGTCAATCAAGCCTGCTGTCTGTGTATGTGTACCAGTGAATGTTGTCAAATGCCATGGCCAGGTGAAGACTCTCGTCCGGCAAGAGACGACCATTCTGCAGACACATACCACGTGCATACAGCGACAGATGCGCACAAGCATTCCCCCCCCCTCTCCCTCTCTCTCACCATCAATGTGCCCGAGGCGAAAGCCAGGGCATTGATGTCCCGCTGCAAATAGCCACCGTGCACTGTCTTGAACATCTCACTCCAATCATTGCCCGCCTGATCTTGGTGCAGCACACACACTGGCCGCTTGGGATCCTGCTCGCGGATGGCCTTGAGGAGAGCGGTCATGACACCGCCGGACGATTTGCCCTGGCCGGCGCCGCAGTCGAGGATCCAGATGGGCCGGTTGGAGCTGTGAGACGAGTCGCGGCCGGCTTCGTCCGTCAGTGTTTTGGACAGGCAGTCGGCAGCGATGGGTGTCCACTGACTCGCTATCGCCTGATGGATACAACGACACGAATTCATGCCACTTTCCCGCCCCTTATCCTCCTCACCTGCCGCCAGTCGCTGCTGTGCACACCGCAGGAGCGGCCCACCGCCGGTATGATGCACTTGCTGTTCTGTGGCGGTGGTGGCGGCATGGTCGCAGGGCGGAGGTCTGGCGACAGGGGGCAGGATGATGATGCCGTGCTGCCTGTTTCAATGTCAGATGCCTGCATGTCGACGCTTCAGCTCCAAGTGAGCAGAAATGAGAGCCTCGTCACGAATGACAACAGAGGTTCTGAGATCGGGATGGAGAGAGATCATGAGAATCTGAGAGCAGCTCGCCGTCTGGTAAATTTGGGTGGGGGGCTATGGGGGCCGTGCACGCTTTTCTCTTCGAAGGTGGCCATGTATTCATCTCATCCCTCGATGGCATATTACCCTCCCCCGTCCGCCGCCCTCCAGGCCTCCATGCCCTATGGGCAGCTGTCCATGCCAGTGATGCACCCGGCATTCGGAGCTCAGGCTGCCGTGCCGCTGTACGCCGCCTACCAGCCGCATGGGAGCGTCATGACCGCCGTGAGCGCCGCCAGTGGAGCGGCGAGTCCACACAGGAGGAGCACCAAGACGGCTGTCAAGGACAAGAGGGGGTATGCCAAGCACTTGGGCGTGGTAGGCGAACAAACAAGTAGGCAGGGGAATAGTGCATCTTGGATAGATGTGGGATTCATTGCTGATTCGCTGCATGAACAGGACGTGGACAAAGAGCCTCAACTCTACGCGTTCCTGCAGGAGGCATTCGACTGCCCCCTGCCAGCGCCTTGGGTGGCCAAGGCCGACAAGAAGGGCCGGGTCTTCTATTGGCATCCGACCGAGAGGCGGAGCGCGTGGAAGCACCCACTCCATGACACATTCGCCTATCTCAGAGACACTTTCCGCAACACATACGCATCGTAAAAAAGTCATCTCACGTCGACTGCGCTTCTCATCCATGACGCCTCTATTTGCCATCTGCAGGCCACAGCGAGAGGCGCTGATCAAGGAGGAGCTGCTTGTGCACCACCAGCGTGTGTCGAGTGAGATCCAGAAGTGGCGGGCGTACACGACGGAGGAGGGACTCACATACTATTATGACCCCGCCACACAGGAGAGCACGTGAGCATGACATTCCATTCAATGTGAGTCGGACGCCTTGCTGTCTGTCTGTGTGCTGACTTAAGGTGGGAGAACCCTCGCGACGTTCTGCAGTATGACTTTGACTTCAGACAGACATTTTTGTCGAGTAAGTTGCAATCAGCCCAACCAGGGCATCCTGGGACCTCCTCTGATCTGCTTTGTTCCAGAGATTCTGGACCCCGTGTACCGCGAGCATCTGGATGCCAAGGCCCGCCGGCCCCCGCACCGACTCACACAGTCCCTCCAGCAGCCGCCCATGCCGCCACCCATATCCTCCGACGAAGCAGATGTCGCCGTTTCCAGCAGCGCACAGCCGCCACGCTCAACCCTGCAGCCACTCCCCTCTGGGAAGCGGTCCTTCGGCAGGCTGCCGTCCTCTGGTTCGGTCGAGCAGGCGAAAGTACCTCTCGGTGGGACGATAAAGGGGGCGGGGCTGACACCTCTTTTGCATGGAGGTCGGCTGGACCTGTCTCATGGGGTGGAGGAGGTGGGCAGGGCCGGGCGGCTGCCCGTCACATATGAGGAGGAGCTAGATGACGGGAGAGGCGTCGGCATGATGGATGTGCTGGGCAAGGAGGGGACTTTATTGGTGCCTCGGCGTCTTGACGAGGAACAGTGCTTTTGGAGCCGGGAGCCATTTGGGGATCGCTCCGTCGCTGTGTCCAAGTGGATGCGGCCTGAGGGTTACCTGTCACATCTGGGCAAGTTGTCGGAAGGAGACGATACACTGAAGGGCATCTTGAAGCCCATTTTCATGTAAAAATTACTTAAGGAAGAAGATGGGTCTGTCTTAAAGGACAGCCAGACACAATGGGTTGTGTCGTGATGTATGTGTTGATAGGGTGGACTTGCCTTACCCATGGAGCGCTCGTCTGGACAGCAGGGGCCGGGTGTACTTCTACCACTGGGGCTTTGGCGAGTCTCAGTGGCAGCACCCTCTCGAAGCATTTTTCACCGACCTCGCCGATTTCCTCAAGTACGTATCCTGCCACTCACACACAAAGGGCGCCGCAAGCAAGTGCTTATCACGTGTCTCTCTCTCCCCTTTCCCACAGAGCCCATATGTCTTTCCTCTCAACGCCGTCCTCGATCCGTCCCCCGATGGCAAACCACCTTCTCTCCCTCTTCCACAGGCCTGCAATTCTGTCGGCTGAGGGCACATGGCGCGGCCCCTACCCGGTGATCGACGAGCAGCTGTCCTCCTTCATCGAGGCCGAGAGGGAGCAGGAGACCGATTGGCCCAGACCCACCAGCTACTGGTCAAATGAGAGGTCTCCTGATGGTGGGGAAAGGAGGAAGGGTGTGAGGTGGGACAACCCACACAGGAGCATGGCGCAGTTGCTGCTGACAAAAGCCAGGTAGGTAATGAGAAAATCAAGGAGCAAGCAGGTGAGGTTGATGGGAAGGCTTGACTGTTTGCTGGGTCTGTCTGTCAGGGCGATGGCGATTCTGTGGTCGCATGTGCTTCCGGGGGAGGAGTTCCCGCTCTCCGAGGCTGAGATGCGGTCCACCTGCAAGACCAGTGCCGAGTGTGTCCTCCACTCTCCACCCGACTCCCAACGAAAACAACCGATCGACACCTCTCAGCCACCCCCTCTCCCAGACGTGGGTCAAGAGCAGCTGAACCAACCCGCTCGCGTTCCTCCAGTCGACACTGAAGTGACGCAGCCGCAGCCACCGCAAGATCAAGAGCAACATGAGGCAGAGGAGACAGCAGTGAGGGAAACAAGACCCCCTGATGAGCCGGCTCTCTTTGAAGCTCCCCCTGCCATCCCAGCAGCCCCTCAGGCCCCGGTAGAGGAGCAGGCAGAAGCTGACACGGCGATTGAAGGCAATGCAAAGGAATCGGAGCAGCGGCAGCCCGAGCCGCTTCTCGCGCGTGGGCCGGTGGGGGAAACACCGGCTGACGCGGAAGACACAACAGCAGGAGCGGATTGGGCTGGAGAGCCACCCGAGGCTGCGCCGGTCGCCAGGGACTTAGAGGAGGCTGCGGCGAAGGAGCAGCATGAAAACAGAGCGGCACCAATCGAGCAGATGACTGAGTCTGCCGAGCCGAGAGAGGAACAAGACCAGGAGCAACAGGTGGCGCTCGTGGTCAGCGGCAAAGCAATGGAGGAGGTCGAAGAGACGACTGTGGACCACATGGACGAGGTTAAAGCTGTGACACAACCGACCCAAGCTGCGCCAGGGCCGGTCCGGGCTGTCATTGAGCCCCCCGCCCCGCAAGGGGAACCTGACCACCAGCAACAGCAACACCGCCAGCAGCGGCAGCATTCGCCCGCCAAGCCGTGCAGCGCCCCTCTATCCTCCGCTCCGTCGGTGGTGTGGTCCGATCCTGAGATCGTCAATGCAGCGGTCGCCCGCCCATATCTTCTGAACCTCTACTGGAGTCTCTCGACACAAACGCCTGTTCCACACACACCGGCAGTGACGCAGACAGAGGCCGCAGCCCCCCTGCAGGAGACGGAGAGACATGAGGGCGAGTTTCCACGGCCAAAGACGAGGCGGCGCGACTCAGAAGAGGACAGAATTGAAGCTGAGGAGGCCACGAAGGTGACCGACCTATAGACACGTGTATAGTGTATGTATTCCAACAAGATGTGTCGGTCGGTGTCTTGCCGCTTACAGGAAGACCATCATCAGCCTGAAGAGCCCTCACACGGGGTCAATATCCTGCACCTGGACGAGGCCGGCCCTGCCACAGAGCAGTCCGAGTGGCAAGAGGAGAGTCCCGAGGGACCTCCGCTGATGACCATCCAGGAGAGCAGCGAGGAGAACCTGCCTGCTGACGCTGATCAGGTACCACCAAGTGGACCCCCAGGGGCCGCCATATCTGGAGATGAAACAGCGACACAGCCACAGGCACAGGCGTAAGAGTTACCAGCCATGTATGCAAGACGCTCCAGTACACTACACCTGCCTCTCCTGTCTCTCTCTCTTATCAGAGATATCGAGGACCATGCAGAAAACAGGGAGAGGGAGGTCGCTTCTGCTGAGGTACACCACCCGCCCTGGGATGGCACGGTGACTCTCTGCTCACATGACCCCCTGGAGGCCTCCGGCCTGCAGCCGCCCACCAACCAAACGCCGCATGATGGCGACCTCGAGGTTCCACCAGGAGGAGTGGCGCCCCACAGCTCGCCTGTGGACAGATCTTACCGTCCTGAGTCCCCTGTCATGGGCGCAGTGGAGGTGTGTGCCATGCGGATGTGCGATGCCGTCATCGAGGAAGAGATCGAACACCTCATCCAGGCGTGTCTGTCGGAGCTGCTCGCCGAGGCGCTGCAGGCCCCGCAGGACTGGTTCACGCCCCCGCCCACCGCTGAAGGACGGCATCAGAGGGATGTGGCGGTGTTGAAGGGAGGAGACACGATGGCCCTGGGCTATTCATCCGAAGACATCGTGGACGACCGGGGCGAGGAGCCCCCACCGCAGCTGATGGAGGTCGCCGTGGCGGCCCAGCAGAAGAGGGACAGTTCTGGCTCGTCAGCGGATGCGACGTCGATACACGAGATGGAAAAGGCGGTCGAGATATCTCCCCCCGAGGCTGCCGACATCGGTCTCGTCACGGCAGTGGCAGCTGAGGAGTCTCACAAATCTGCTGAAGAGGCAAGCAGTGTCAGGGAGGAGGATGGCCGGCTCGCTGATCAGCCTCAACGTGAGGAGCAGCAACAACAACACGCGGCGATGTCATCTGAGGAAGAGCAACACATGGCAGACGTATCAGAGGCAGAGCATTCGGCAGAGGAGGAGACACAGACACGAGAGCAGCAGCAGCAGCAGCAGCCTACTGTTGTCGAGGCCCCCGCTCGCCGTCATGATCGCGATCACGGTCATCGTGCGACATTGGAGATGCAGCCCGAGCAGCAGCGAGAGGAGACCGTCCGCAGGATCCAGCTCTTGCTGAGCGACGCTCCATCTCACGAACAGGAGCATCCTTTCATGGACGCCTCTCCCATCCAAAAGGACTCGTACGAGGATGACTTTGAGGAGGCCGTACAAAGCTCTCCCGCGTCACCAGCAGCCGACCACCAGCGACACTCCCTGGCCACACAGGAAGACGGGAAACCACCGTCTCCCCATCAACGCGCAGAGACACCACTAGCGCTACCGCAACAACCAGACACACATGGGCCGTCTCCGCCAGCAAGTTCTTCCGAGCGGCCGGCGAGTGTGCTGAGTGTGGGAGACCCCGACCGCCCCGAGACGCGAGACCAGGCCTCCCAGGGGGCGATCGGGTGGCTACCGATGCAGATGGAGGCGGAGATCATGGAGGTGGTTGAGAAGATGGCCCGGTCGGTGACGGAGCAGACGGTGACGGCGGCGCTGCACAAGGCGGGCATCCGTGTTGGGATTGGGGCACGACACACGCCTCCAGCGTCATCATCCAAGTCTTCCAAGCCATCCTCCAAGGAAGAGAAGCGCACCCCTCCCGCTCCTCTTGCTCCTCCCGCCCCCGTCTCTGTTCCGGCACCGGCACCGGCACCTGCCCCTCCCCTACCGTGGGCCGCCGACACTTGCTATGAGGGCTTCCCTGCTGCTGGTGCTAATGGCACGCAGCTACGTGTTCAACATGTTCCTGAACCCTACGTCGCCCACACCCACGCTCCCGACTCAGCCGCGCCAACAGCTGTCCCACGGGGCACACGCAGAACGAATCACAGGGCGAGCGAGCCTTCTCGCTTATCTGCCTTCCCGAGTGGCTTCTTGGTGCTGCCCGGTCCGCCACCCGGCCGGCAGGGGACGATGGGCGCCTACTACGTTGTCGAAGAGGCGCGCTGGGAGGAGGGGGAGGACATTAGGCTGAGACGAGAGGCAGCGAAGAAGTATGTTGCTCAGATGAGAGAGGTAAGTATGGCGATGCCGGTTTGTTTGTTCCATTGTATTTGATCGATCGTCATGCAGGAGGACGCTGCCTTGCGAGCGAGGCGGCGAGGCCCCAGCAAGTCGCTGGTGGACATCCGTGGCACAGACACCTACCGCATCTACGCCCCCACGATGCAGCAGATGCCCCCTTTCGTGCACGACGAGGCCCCCCCGCCAAAGCCCCTCCCGCCCCCCAGCCCGGCAGAGCAGAGAGGGTCTCGCGACTCGATGATGAGGGGGTTTCGTGCGCTGCCGACCGTGGCATCCCGTGTCTCCAGCAAAGTGAGCATCCGTGTCTCTTCTCCCTCCGTGTCTCTCTACATCCATGTGTGTGTCTCCATCTTTTGATCAGGGCCCCTTTGCGTATTCGTCGAAGATTCCCTCCCCCGCTTTGTCGTCGTCCCCCGGTGGTCGTGCGTTGTCGCGCAAGCGGCACTCGCTGGACGCGTCGCCGCCCCGGCTGCCTTTGCTGATGCCCCATCCTGACGGGGGAGTGATCAAGGTCATGCTCGCACGGTCGGACAAGCTGCCGAGGTTGGGGAATGGCACTAATGGGCGGCCGACGAGTGGGGAGGGGGGTGAGGCAGAGAGGAAGAGGCAGTGTGTGCGAGCTGCGGGAGTCGATGCCTCACCCCAGATGGAGGTGAGCTACTTACGGCATCACATTAGTATATTGTCTTCTTCTCTGGTTGTGTGTGTGTGTTAGGTCGAGGAAGAGGACACGAGGCCCGACACGATGGCCAGGAACCTTGTCTATTGACCGATCTGATGCACGCACTGCATGGGGACAGGGCTGGCCTGTCTGTGTTGTCCGGCTTGCGAAACGGAGCGGAGACTTGCCTCCAGGTCCATCCATCCATGTATGTATGTATATATGTATGTGTTGGATCAGTCATGCAATCAATACACTGTCCATCCATCTATACACACACACACACACCTCCCACCCATCCCATCCATGGAGACCATTCACCACCATCCACCGTACTACTCGGCCATCCCGCCCTCATTCACACCCAGGAGGCACCGACGACGACCTCGCCCCTCCCCCCAACTCCTCCCGCCTCCTCACGGGACACAACGCCACCCTCCTCGCCATGGCTACCGGCGTGGTCATCCGCAACTGGTGCACCGTCGGCGGCGATGCGTTCGGGTGCAGCAGCCGCGACGATGACAAAGATGTGGGAATGGGCGAGGAGAACGGGGACGGCGGGCTGGCCTGCGGCTGCGGCGAGTCAGTGGGGGATACGGGAGCAGAGCATATGGCGAAATGAGGCGTCTCGGGAGACTCCTGCAGACAGAGATGATATGAGACCGAGCGGCAGCATCGCAAGCGGATGACTTGTCCCGCTTGTGTGGTCACCTCTGGTTTGGTTGGTCCGGTGGGTGGGCTGGAGGGGATGAATGAGCTCTCCCTCTCCCTCTCCCTATTCATTAGTGTCCCGTCGATATCCTGGCGCGACGGGTCTGATGGAAGGGACGAGAGCGGCGCATACGTCGAGGGGCTGCCGGTCGACCGACCAGGCATCACAGTCAGCCAATCACCACCCGACACATCATCTGAACACCACACAAAGAGGGAGCGGCCTGCAGCCGTTCGTTATACGCACACACATCACATCCGCAGGTACCTTCCTCCTTCCCACAGGTGCCGAGGTTGATGCTGAGTGTCTGTATCTCCCCCGTCTGTGCGGCCAGCTTCCTCTGGTGGCTGAGGCACCAGTCCAAAGTCCGGCAGAACCGCAGCGTACGCTTGGCCATGCAGCGGTGGTCATAACGCTCCAACAAACCTTCTCTGCACACACACATACAGCCGACCAACCGTTATGTGACAGTGCAAGAGGCCATGAATGTCTGGTGCAGACTCGAGGTTTCCTGCTGCGACCTCGCGACGCACTAGCTTACCTGGAGAGGTGAGAGAACTCTGCCATCGCCTGTGCCTTCTGATGCAGTAGATCCGCCTGGGCTACGGGATAGCTGATGCGGCAGCGATGGGGCTTCCTCGCCGCTGTCACGCTCATCTCCCTTCGGGAAACACTCACATGGATTTACTCTGGACCGTGAAATTCTGGGGGAAGGCAAACCTTTCTCTGTTTAGCTCCTCATCTATATCCCGCGAGGAGCTAACTCGATGAGCAGTCCATGAGATGACATGATGGAGAACCACCGCCCCGCCAGCGTCTGCAAGAGGAAGCGGTCGAGGTCGGGCTCTCGAGAGGGCAGCGGCAGCTGCTCAGGCAAGCGCTGGCGACCCACACAGGTGCGGCGGGGTGAGGGGGTGAGGAACATTCGGGTCAAGAAGGATTTAGAGGAGCTGCGCAGCTCGGTGGAAGGGGCGGTGGTGAAGGTCAAGGAGGACTACTCGAGCGCCACTCTCAAGATCTCTGTTCGCATGGGTGGGTCGAGAGCGGAGGCAAGACGCTGCGAGCATGTTGTGAGATGCATCAGACTCTCCTTCTGATTGGTGTCGGTCTTTCTCTGCTCTGCCTGCAGGTTCGTTGGGTGGTCACGAGTTCTACCTGGCCGCCACGTTCCCCGACTATTACCCCCACTCGCCGCCTACGATCTCCATCACACACACGTCTAGCCCATCGGTAACGCAGATAGACAGACAGACAGGGAGAGACCTCTCACACCCCCTGTGTCTGTCTGTGTGCAGCTCTTGTCGTCTGTATCGGTGCCGCACATATCGCTGCCGCCAGCGGAAGACCCGCAGTCGCTCACGTGTGAGCTGCAAGGCCTGCTGGCGGAGGGCGGGGGGGCGGTCAAGGCACAATGGAACCCCACCTGTGACATACGCAAGATCTACGAGCTGGCGGTCAAGTGCCTCGAGGTACGTGTGGGCGGGCGGGGGAGGCACTGCAGGTGAGTCGGTCGCCGAACCCGTGCGTGTGTGTTGGTTCAGGCACTGTGATTGCCGGGTGGAAGGCCTGGCCTGTCGAGGTATCCATGCCTTCACCTCGTGTGAGGAGAGGAATTTCGCCAGGGCTCGCACGTTCAACGATCGCAGCGACGCACTCACTCCACTCCTTCCTGGTCGTTCTCGTTCTCTCTTGCCTGCCTGCCTTGATCTGTGCGTGTGAGTATGTGTGTGTGTGTGCCGGCGTGATGTGTACAGAGAGAGGGGGTGGCTGGTGTACAGTGAGGGAGGGAGCGGCTGGGTGGGTGCATGGGATGGGAGCGTTCTGACACGTGTGTGAGCGTGTGTAGAACGAACGACACATCCTCTGTCCATCTGTGGCGGAGTGGCTTGGCTGGCTGGGAGGGAGGCGGGCGATGAGTGAGTCCATCTGACATGTCACGAAGCGTGTCGTGCTGTGTGTGTACGTATGTGTGCATGCCCTACAAGTGATTGATGCACACGGGCTCACTCACGGATGTACCCTGGCGTCAAATGGTCTGTCTTGTCACGGTCCAGACTCACACAGCACAGCAAAGGCAACTCAGCGTAGCCATCAGATGAGCAGCTTCCGCAAGAACTCTACCATCTTCGCACTGCACACCCACACACACCATCAACACACACGACCGTCAGTCAGTTCTTTCCCTCAATCCATCCCCCTGTCTGTCTGTCTGTCTGTCTGTCTGTCTGTGTCCTTACAGCAGGAGTGCGAGCGTAGAGTTCTTGACCACCTGCTGCCCCAGACACATGAGCTTCAGCTTCTCGTAGTTCTCCCTCAGTGGATGCTGGGATATCGCCACCAAACACTGACACAAATGACACAGTGAAACCGCTCACAAAGGCATAGGCAGGTGGGTCAAGATTTCCATGTCGCCGCCTGCCCACCTACCGTCTGTGCGCCCATTATGAGTGTGTCGTATGCGTGAGCGGCCAGCGCCAATGTGGCGGCATCTCGCCGGCCGAGGTCGGTGCGCTGCACCTCACTCAACACACCCTCCAGACTCTTGACCGCCTCGGCAGGGGGCTGCAGACGCGCGGGAGAGAAACAATGAGACCGCAACCACCAGAGAGAGCATCGACGCATGCAGTCATTCTCTCACACACCTTGGGACGTATTGCTTGAAGCGGCGACCCGTCGGCCGATGGACGAGACCTCTGCAGACATACAGATTCGCGTTCGTACAAGCGCACACAACTAACTAACAGCCACCGGTTTCCGGCTGCCCTGCCCACCTCCAGCCTCTCCAAGATGCCCACAATGTCCCCATGTATCTTGGAGAGGCCGCTCTCAGCCGGCGGGGTGCTCGGCGGCCACGGCACACCTCCACTCGCTGCTGCTGCTGCGGCCGCCGGTGAGGCACCTGGTGCAGCTGGTGCTGCTACCTCATTGTTTTGCATCCTGTTGCTGCTGCCATTGTTGCCGGCGTCTCGCAGCTGGTTCTTGAGACTTGTGAGGAGGCTCTTGGCGTGGTCGGCACGGTTGCCGATGGGCTGACATAAAGGATGGAAGCAGACAGACAGAAGCTTCGATGTTCTGTCAATCATGACAGACAACATGCATCTGCCCGCTTCACTTACCTCTAGATAGTGATTGATGAGGTGTCTTCGTTCCTGTCTGATCTGCTCCGCCCCGCCGAGGCCGTCCAGCGTGACCATGGTCTTGACCACCGTGTCGCTCACCTCACGCGAGCGGAGCAGCTCCTGCTCCACACGAGGCAGAGGCGGACAGCCGCCATTGCCACCACCATTGAAGGAGAGAATCTGCATGCCATGCATCGTCGCAACCAACACATTAACCACCTGTTGTCTTGTTTTGTGTTGCTGGTCGACTGACCTCTTGGACGCCTTGGACCATCCTGTTTGCACATGGCAGGATGGTGTCATGGATCCTCTGCGCATGCACTTTGATCTGCCAGCCAGCAGACAGAGTGAATGGGTGCGATGCACAGGGAGAGAGAGAAACATGCACACGTACGTTTCTCCAGCCGCCTCGTCGTGCCGTGCTGTGTTGATCTCTGACCTGTTCATCGCCAGCTATCATCAGCGCCTCGAGGAAGTCATCCTCGACAAAGGGACTCGAGTCAAAGGCTTCTGGCATCATGAACGTCGAATGCCGGTAACGGGGAAGGGCGGCGCCGTGTTATCTCAAATGTCGAATGATTGCTCCACTCGCCTTCATCTCATGGCGTTCCGAGAGCACCTTTCACCTGTGTTTAGCGAAGACCCTACGTCCCGCGAGCTTAGATGTGGCGAGCTTTTGTTCACCTTTTTTTTCTCGAGAGGACGCCACGATGAACGGAGATCCGGTGACGATGGACACGGGGAAGTTGCTGAAGCAACTTGAAACGGTCTACTCGGCCCCCTTTGGAGAAGCAGACCTCGTCATAGCGGCGCTCTACGACGCTGACGCGCAGTTCGAGGTGGGCACAGGGGCAGGGGGCCTCACTGGCCGCACAAGGCACCGCCCAGAACAAGCAAAAGAGATACGTCAAGAGTGAGTTTTGTGTGTGTGGTGTGTGGCGGGGTGTCGACAGGACCCGATAATGAAGGTGTCAGGCATCGACGACGTGAGGAGCCAGTTCCTGTCGCTGAGGACGCTCTTCAGCAAAGTGGAATTTATAGGTACGTACGTCGGTGGGAGGGGCTGGGTTTCTGCACCGCACAGCACAGGTGGGGAGCCGCATGCAGTGCACTGCGTGTCGGTCTGGTCTGTTTGTCTGTTTGTGTGTGGTGCACTCACTGCAGGCGAGCCGACGCTCCTGACGCCCACCCAGGATGCCCTGCCGTCGCCCCCGTCGGTGCTGTTCAAGGCCAAGGTGCGGTACACATTCCGCCTCATCCCGCTGTCCCTCACCATCGTGCAGACCACTCACGTGGTCATGGACGAATCCGCCACCAAGATCACATCCCACGTCGACGAGTGGTCCCTCGCAGTACGCCCAAGACATATGCACACATCATGTCGCCATCAGTGACAGCTGCCCGGCATCTCTCTCTCCCTGCGTGTGATGTGCAGTCTCTGTTCAGCGGCATCACGATCCTGGGCCGCATCTACGACGCCTACTGGCGCCCCAGTATCGGGCGGCTCACCTCGTGGCTCATCCGCCAGTCCATCGGCTTCTACGTCACCACAATGGTGCCACCGAGGTTCGACCCCCTCGCCCTGGCCCTCTACTTCGGCGACCCCTCCCACACGAGGCTGGCGAGCACCGTGCGCAACGGGGTGTTCTTCTGCCGGCGGCGCGCCAGGCATGCCAACGAGGCCATACAGGCCGGCCCGGAGGGCAGGAAGATGGTCGCCATCGTCACCGGAGGCACCTCGGGTGAGATGGATGGATGGCGACAACACACCACACCACCCACAGACACATAGAGACGCCGATCCGATCCATATCTGTGGTTCGTGTCAGGGATTGGCCTGAAGGTGGCTGAGGGCCTGGCGCGTCGCGGCCTGGAGGTGCACATCACCTGTCGCGACCTGCAGACGGGCGAGAACGTCGCCGAGGCGCTCCAGACCCAGGTCAACGACGAGCTGGCCGCCCACGGGGGCGGGTTGCGGTGCCGCGTCGTGGTCCATCGCGTCGACATGAGCCGACCAGGAGAGGTGCTGGCCTTTGCAAGGGGATTCACCTCTGTCGATGGCGAGCGAAAGCTCGACATACTGGTGAGAGGATGGCTTCGTGTTGAGAACGCCCTGGCGTCTGGTCATTTTCGGTGCTCAGGTCAACAACGTGGCGGTGCTGCCGTCTCGCCGTCAGGTGACGGCTGACGGACTCGACGAGGCATTTGCGGCAAACGTGGCCGGTTTCTTCATCCTCACGAGTGAGCTGACCCCCCTGCTGGCAATGCCAGGCGGTGGCGCGCAGAGTGAGGGCCGCGTCGTCAACGTCGTGTCGGCCGGCATGGAAGCCATCGGGTATGCACCAGCGGTACTAGTGCTGATGGTTCCGTTTGTATGTGTATGTGTGTGTGTTTCTGCAGTCTGGACGTCGATTCCCTGGAGGGGCCGTCGACTGGCTGGGCGTACGACGGCCGCAAGCAATACGCCCTCCACCATCGCGCGAGGGTCCGGCCGCTCCACACACACGAATAGGGCCAGGCGTGTGCACGTGTGTGTGTGTTGGTCGATGGTGGCATGGCAGGTGTGTTTGACCGAGTACTGGGCGGCCACGTGGAAGGAGAACGACCTGCCCATCCGCGTCAACTGCTGCCACCCAGGTGCGTGCTGTGCTCGACGAGTGATGAGGACATATATGTTTTGGTATCTCATGGTCTGTCTGCTGGGTGTCTGTCGTATGTGTGTGGTCAGGGTGGGTTGACACGCCCGGCCTGCGTGACGCGGTTCCCCTGCGGCCCTTCTACCGCACCACCAAGATGCTGGGGCTGCTACGGGATGAGGCAATGGGAGCCGACACACCGGTAGGCACACAAACATCCACACACACACACACACACACACACAATTGGTGTGTCTGTCTGTGTGGATAAATGCAGCTGTGGCTGGCCCTGTCTGACGACATCCGCGTCAACAACATCAGCGGCAAGTACTTCTTCGACCGCCGCCCCCGCAAGACGACCCTCGGCCAGATAGCCCTCCCCTCGCCCGACCAGCGCACCGCACTCGTCCAGCTCTGCACCAACCAGCACAAACACTTCCAAGGGCTGCTGCCACAACCGCCCCACCACCACCAGCAGCAGCAGCAGCAGCTACAGCACACGCGACAGACAGTGCAGCTGCACACGGGCAGCAAGACCACTCCTGCCGCTGCCGCTGCTGCTGGTGGCTTGGGCGTGAGTGGGGGTGAGGCGGCAATTGCGACCAATGCGACCAACGGCAGCAACACTACCACGGATGGGCAGCCGGCTGTAGCTGCCAATGGTGTGGACGAGGGGGAGGGGAATGCCGGCGCACAGGAGATTTAGAGGATGGAGGGGGCAGGGCGGGGTGGCTGTGGTGCGGTAAGGCCATTTTTGTTGCTATGGCGTCAGTCACGGCAGGGCTTTATGGGCGTAGTGAGTGAGCTGTGATATACAAACATGGGTCTATATGGATTCGCTTCGCTCTATCTGGGCGGTTGGCTGAATGTGGCTGCTGAATGTGCTGACTCAATTACTCACTCGTTCCTCCCTCCCTCCCTCCCTCACAGACTGCCTAGGTGTCTATTTGTCTCTTCCCCCTGTCTATGTGTCTTCCCAACTAGGTCATGGCCCTTCCTCGGTTCGCTCCTCCCTCCCTCCCTCCCTCCCTCAGCTCCTCTGTGGCAGCCGGTCAAAACCGACCACAAAAGACTTTGTGTGTGATCGGACCGACGGGCTGTTGGGGTGTGGTGGTGTGTGGTGTGGTGTGTGGCTGCATATGGTGAGATCGGACTGGATGTGTTGCTGCCTGTGGGGTGAATGGGTGAGTAGTTTCTATATGGAGCGATCGCGGATTGGCTGGCGTGCGTTTGAATGAATGGCTCGTGATGACTGACTGCATGGCATGTGGTCTGTCTCGCTCAAGACACACTGTATTTCGGGATGGATGGATGGATGGATCTAATATATAGATGTACCTCAGTACTTTTTTCCTTGTCTGCCTGTCTGCCTGTCTGCCTGTCTGCCTGTCTGCCTGCCTGTTGGTCGCGTGAATGCGTTGCATGCTGTGCGTGTGAAGAGTTCCGATTTTCGTGGAGGACGGACCGGACGGACTCATTCAGATCACATTGAGTTGAATACCTGTGTGTGTGTCAGTCTCATTGATAGTGTGTATGAGAATCTTCAGAGCCGCCCACCACCGAAGAGCAACCAGGCACACAGCCAGTTCCCATTTCCACGTACGTCTCCATCAACATCAGTGTGCGCGGCACAACCGATGCAGCACAGCACGACTCAAGCGATTTCAAACCGATCGGCCCACACACACGCGCATCTTCTGCACACAGAGACGTGAGTGTCGCGCTTGCACATGATGCAGCCATGCTGATCGTTTGATTGCGCGGCACAGAGCAAACCAGCCAATCGAATATAAAATGTAGGCAACGATGGAAGACCTGCAAAACATACAAAGGGTTATCAGACAGCATAAACTTCTGCGCAGAGACATCCGTGCCTGTTGCCTCATCCTTATCTCTCTCCATCCATCCATCGTGGACCTCTCAGCTGGCAAGTCTTGGCCGACACCGCTGGGCCACCTTCGTTTGGGGAAAGTAGTGGCCATGATGGGCCTCCCAGTCGGGGGCACGATTGATGTCTACACGCAGACCGCAGATCTGAAAAACACGCCAGACAGACAGACCCAACACAGCCGGGCAGACTCCGAGGAGAAGGACGTCAGGCCAAAATCAAAGGATAGCCGCCCTAGGTGCCTATGCAAAGCCAACCATACATACGTGGATGGATGGATGGATGCATGGCACAGCCCACTAATTCCGTACGCAAAAAGGAAATGTCTCTACGTGAATGAGCGAGTGGGCCTACCTGCCTGCCATTCCATCCATACACACACGCACACACGCACGCACATCCACGCTCTCCCTCCCTCCCTCCCTCCCTCCCTCTCATCCATGTATGAATTGCAGGTGTATGTGTATGTGTGTGTGTGGGTGAATGTGTGTTTGTCTTATCTATCTCCCGCTCCCAACTCAATCCTTTCAATCGTCTTTCTCATATTGCTCGCCGTCCACGGTGGACATGCCCGTCTCGACATAACCCTTGGGCGGAACGATGTAGCCTTGTTGCATCGCCACTGGCCCTACACAAGGCAACAACGCACAATACGCATACACATAATAGAACGATTGATCATATACCAGACGAGCTGCTGGCGGCGGTTTTGAAGGGGCCAGCGGGAAACAGTGGAGGCTGCGCCGCCAGCACCACATTGGGGTCGATCTTCTGAGAGAGAGATCCAGACACACATGATATCGATGTTGGTGCGGAGGTGCCGCAGCTCACCAATTCCATCCACGTGTGTAGCCATCCATGTGTAGAAGGAAAGGTACAGCCTTGTTCAGCAAATATTAAGTGGAGACGTGTCTTCAGCGGTCAACCTGGTGCCTTTGCATCACGTTTGTCTTCGGGGTAAGGGACGAAGAAGACGACAAGATATAAAATGTAGGCAGCGATATGAGAAGGCCTGCAGACACTCACAATGACGGTAGAATAGAGGATGAGCAAATGGCATGTGTATCCTCGTCATTTGCTTACCCGTCAGCAGCTCCATCGAGACCACAAGGCACCCGTCGGCAGCGGGGGTGGTGGCATGCTGGTCCTCTGGCTCCTCTTGCGAGTGGGAGCTGGCTGGCTGCCAGTGGCTGGCTCTCTGTGGAGGGGGAAGTAGAGGTGTGGGACTGATGGATGGTCAGCTTGGGCAGCAGCAGGTCGCGGGCTTGGGCACAGGCTGCCAGCGGCTCCTTTAGGGTGCCGCGATCTTCGCACCTTGGCTGCAGACCCTTCCTAGACGCCTTGGACAGAGTATCCACCCACTCCTGCGCCCATTTCATGTCGGAATGCAAGCTGCACTTCTCCAGTAGAGAGCACCAGACCATGCCGTCCCAGAGAGGGCTGCCGTCTTCATCCACATACTTGGCCATCTCCGTACCCCTCCAGCACCGCCGTCACCTCGCCCCTCACGACGCCCTTGGCGTTGTCCTCGTCCATCATGGGCCCCTGCAAGTCCTCCCCCCTGAGCACGGCGTGGATGAGGGCGGCGATCCCCCACACCAGGCTCGGCAGCCCCATCCACACCTTCTCGTCACCCCCCTTGCCCACCAGCACCCCCTGAGCCTTCAGCTCTCCCTTGAGCTTTCTGATTGCCGCTCGGATGCGGTCCAGCTTGGCCGATGGCGCTCGTGGGTCGAGGCCCATCCGGCGCTGGTAGGCGGTGGTGGAGCTTGGTGTGTCCGCCTTCCTCTGGGCATCCTCCTCCAGCGCCTGGATGGTGAGCAGCAACTGCTCCGGTGGGCGGAAGGATGCCGTGCCGCTGGGGTCCTGGTCCACCGACTCCCTACCGGCCACTGAGAGGGGGATGAGGGTGCTGCCCGTGGCCATGAAGGGGGGAGGGGGGACGGACGAGCTGCAGCTCCACGGTGTTGGCCAGGTCGATGAATCTCACCGACTGCTCCACTGGGGTAGAGTCCGCCCGACGTCTGCTGTGCTGCCGAGAAGGGGAGGGCCGACCGCCTCAGGAATATGTTACTCCTGAAGTGGTCGCTGCAGATCAGCCCCCCCTCAGCAGCCTTGATGTGGGCCCGGATGATGAGAATGAGGGCCTCCGTGATGACCAAGAGATCACCTGCGACGGCTGCCTTCTCCTCGGCTGTGCTCTCCTCCTTGAGCTTCTCGGCGATCTTATAGACGTTGTGCGGGGGCGGCACCTCCAGCGGCAGCAGCAGCGCCCTCTGCTCTATCCACTCCTCACCTGCAGCCACACAGACACCACCACACAACGAGAGAAATTGAGAGAATGAAACCCAGCATCAATTTTTTCACCGCCTCCCTTGGACTCACCGTCCAGGAGAAGCATGCCGATGGCGACGGCCTTGCTCTCCGTCACACGCCCATCCTTGTTCTTCTGCAACATTGGGCAGTCAACGGGGTCGGTGTCCCCGAATAAGAGTGGCAGGAAGAGCGGGTTGCCGTCATAGTCCCTCATCCTCTTGGCCTCCCTCTGAAACAGTGCCGCTTGGGCCTTCTGCCCGTCCTCGAACTTGGCGTACTTGACGGTGCCGTCAACGAAGCCCAGGCCGTCCCTGGTGGGGATGCGCGCCCGCCGGACGCATTGACCCGGGATGCCAAGCTCGTCGGCCTTCGGGTCGAGCCACTCGAACTCGTGGCCGGTCCAGTGGCGGCTGGTGAGCCTCAGTTTCTCCATTGCTGTGGCTGCTTTTGATGCTTCTTTCGCTGCTGCTTCTGCGCTTCCTCGGAGTCCTTTTCCTCTTCCTCCAAGCTCCAGGTCCCAGTTCGCACTGACGGATTTTTTCCGATACCATATCGCGGGAGGGAGAGGTGGCGAGGCTTGAGAGGTGCTGAGGCGAGCCGTCTGAGGCAAGAACCGGCCCAAAAGATGATGAGATGGAGGAGATGTGGCGAAGGAAAGGCAGGAGAGCTGAAAATGCCGGAAAACTACTAAATGGCTGTGGTTGTCTCCCGTCTCCCGTCGAGAAATCTGGCCAGGGAGTCCGTCGATCCCTAACGGCCAACCGCTAACGCTTTTCACGGTCCTGACAGATCACACAGTACGGCAAACCAGCGTGTGTATGTTTCATGCATTTTACCTCGATCGCGGCAAACCGGTAACGCCAGTACTGCTTCCCGTCAGAGGTTGCTTCCTCTTCGGTTGCCCTTCTCGTCTGTGCGCGTCATGGCTCGCCTGCTTGTCGTCTTCGCGGCACTTTTCCTGGTGGTGGTGGGTCAGGGTGCTCCCGCTCGTGATGTAGGCTCATGATGGAGGCTAGTCAGCGCCGGTGCTGATGATCAGTCTGATCTGTCCTTCTTCTCTGTGCAGACTGGGGAGGTGTCCATGCACCCTGAGCACCCTGAGAGCCCTCATCTGAGGGGCGCTAACGAGGTACGACGCGCACTCAACTCTGAGGCTGAAGCTGAGTTTACATCTGAAACTGACTCTGCATCTGATCTGTGCACACAGCGCAATGCCACTGCTGCTGTTCGGAGGTTGTCCGCTGCAATTGGAGAGAGTTGCTCGTCGACCAGTGATTGCGATTCCGACAACTGTGTCAATGGATGGTGTTGGCCAACAGATACGCTTGCCCCCCACGGACACCGATGCAACTTCAACAACGATTGTTGCTCAGACGAGTGGGGAAGAACAGCAAGATGAGCTGAGTTGAGCTGTTTGATGCTTTACTGACCTGTCGCTTTCTCTCTTGATGTGTGCATGTATGCAGTTGCGATGACGACAGGTGCGACAGTGGAAACAGTGAATGCGATGACGACCTCTACGTCTGCATGGTGGAAAAAACCCCGAAGACTGAGGACGACATCCACAAATTTGCGTGTGTGACGGACCTGAGCCCCGGGGCCGAGTGGAACCCCATCCGCTTGTCGGGCGACGCTGCGTGCACTAGTCACGGGTGGAGCGAATGCGAGCGCATGGAAGTCTCCTGCCACAACAACAACACCCCTGAGGCCTGGTGAACACGAATCACACCCAAACATGTGGTGCTCACGAGCGTGTGCATGCTGGCTATGTCCGTGCAGGTCTACTAGCGGCAATTCCTGCTCCGACGTCGCCAGCGCAGGCTTCATAAGCACCTGCGCCTACAGAGCAGGTGAACACATACGTCCACAAACGTGTTCTCATCTAATTTCTTCTTTGTGCGTATCCGCACCATTGCAGTGTGTAAATGAACGTCAACACGTATTGACCAGCCGGCAGACTTACAGTAGCCCGTGTGACTTTTGCGAGAGCGCGTGTGTGTGCGCGGGATTCCATCGTACGAGTATCTTTTTCTCGACGAGCCATAGTCGTTCATGTGGGGGGGGGGGGGGTTC